AAATATGGCGTGAACACAACAAACCCATCTTGACCTAGCTGCTTGTTTGAATGTGAAACATACTAGATACTGGCCAGAAGAGAAGATTCAGGAAGTTGAAGAAAGGATCGCTCCTGGCAGTATTGACGTTTCAAACAGCATAGCTTCACATCCAAGAGTGCATAAAATAAACCTTTTCAGAGTCCTTTGCCTATGTGCACTGGAGCTGTTTGTATATATATCATCTGTATGTGGCAAAAGTTGCTAAAGTATCTCATGAACTCCAGCCGTATAGAGATTGATGTCTCTAACGATAATGTGTCATTTACTTGGCACTACCTGGGGCGAAGTGGCCCACATAAATTAACTGTCTAGATAATGCATGCATATAGTGTTTTACTGTTTTCAAGACATTTTCACATGTTATTTCTACTTTACAAGATAAGCAGAACTGTAATTTGTATTCCCATTTTACAGACAAGAAAATTGAGTTTAGTGGGGTCTAAATAGCTGCCCCAAATCATAAAGTTCATAAATGCAGATCTAGAATCAGAACTTAGATTTTCTGACTCCAAGTCCAGTGTTTCTTCCATTACCCTTAAGAACCAAAAATTCTTTTTAGCCATTTAAAACGGAAATATTTTTTAAAGGGACAGTGAGCATAATTTGATCTTTTCTTATTGACTCACAACCATCATTATGAACATCAATTGTTGGACTACAGGGGCTACTGAGGCATGGAGGGATATCCCCCTTTATTAAATGTCCCCAACAGCCACATGTAGTGAGTTGCTGAGTCCACTTTTAGGTCCTCCACCTTAATGTTACCTGTACATCTTGCTACTCATATGTACCGCCCCCCAGCAGTCTTCCATTTAACTTCCAGCCCTTCTATTTAACTGCTTATCTGTTACTGACTAGAAAGCCATAAAGTCAAGCTTACAAAGACGATGCATAAATGTAGAACTCTAAAGACTATGCATAAATAAATAAACTCTAAAGACTATGCATAAATGTAGGCTCTAAAGAAAGACCCAAAGAGCTTTCAGATGAAACTATACTCTATACAAGCAGGTATTCTATATTCTATACTTTTCACAGACAGGAGTTTCATGGCAGTTGAGGTGTGCAGAGATGTTTTCTACTTAGCCACTATTTTCCTTTCTGAGAAAGAGAGTTCAAGTTGTGGAAGAGGCAACTTTTAGAAAAAGCAAAGTGTTGCTGCATTCTGAAGAGTCTATTCTCACTGAAAGTCAGTGGCACCTGGGAGAAGACTAGAATCATCTGGCATACAGAAAATATCTAGACATACCCCAAATATTTCCTGAAAGTACAAGGTTGAAAGTCATAATGAAATGCTACAAAGAAAACAGAATTCAAGACTTAAAGGTGTAGAGGTGGTAGAGATGAGATGACAAATTCAGAATGCTATCCCATTTTTCTTCACAAGGACCACAAACCCTACAACTTCTTAATTTTGTTTTACCTCAAGCACACTAAGAACAAGGAAAGTCATGCCACATGATGGCTCGGAAGAAGCTGTGGTATCAATGAGTTTCCTCATCTGTAAAATGGAGATAATTACAGTACAGACCTCATAGGGCTGCTGGGGAAATTAAATGAGATAATTATGTAAAAGTAAGCATCGTATAGTAGGCATTTAATAAATCTTCACTATCATTATTATCCTCATAATTATTATAAGGTAGGGCAGAAGAAAAAGAGAAAGAGAAAGGAACTTGTACTTTCAGTGGAGTTTTTCAAAAAGAATTAATTAAGCAGAAACAAAAAAATGATTGTGCTGTCCCATTTTACTAAGCACATCTAAGTAAATTAAATTTTGGAAACGAGGCAATGCAAAGATTGAAAATAAAGAACAACTTTTTAAAAACGCTTCAATCATTATCAAAACAACATTAGCAATAGAGCACTCCAACCACTGTAGCAAAGGGCCCCAGGCTCATTTATGAGAGCAAAGGCTTCCTGCAAACTAAGACATAAAATCCAAATCGAGGCAGTAAGGATTGCTCGTGGAACTGTGCACATATTTGAGGAAAGCACTCATGGCTTAAATATCCTCAATGTGGACAAGTGAAGGAATCCTAAAGAGATTGTGGATCTAGACCAAGATCAAGATGAGATTTCTTCAACTTCACGTGGTAGAGAACATAGCTCACAAAAGCTGCCTCATCAAATTTCATATGAGCGAAGCATTGGGGCAATGTTCTTAATAATTTGGTCTACCAGAATCTTGAGAAAAGGATATATTTTAGAGAAAAAAATTTTGCTCCCCCCAATTTCAATTCATTGGAATAGTCGGTAGTTTTTAAAAAAAAGAAGTGGATGCTCTCTTTTTCTTGGCAGTTAATGATACAGCATCTTGTAGTGGTCCCTGGTTTTGAGCCTTATCTCTCCAAATGTTTATTATAGAAAAGATTTGGGAGCAATGTGTCCCCAAACATGGTATAAGTGCTTTGAGATCTGGGACCATGCTCCATTTTTTCTCATGGGGTTTACTGTTTTCTAAAAGTGAGACAGGAAAATGATGAGAAAAGATAATGAAACCAAATCAAGAATGAGTATAGTTGACAAGGTAAAGGACACCAGCAGTAATGAGCTCAGACAGTATTCAGCTGTCTGTGTTCCTTTGCTAGGGTTGTCCTACTTATCCCCACAATTCAAGAAAAAATGTATATTAGTGTATGTGTGTGTGAGAGTGAGAGAGAGAGACAGGGTGGGAGGAAGAAGAGAAAACGATGGAGGAACAAAGAGAAACAGGGAGAGAAAGAACTAGTAGGTGCTACCCCCAATTTTCGCCCCCTGGTCACAGGTCTACCCCCAATTTTCGCCCCCTGGTTCAGCCTCCATGCTACAGAAGCCATACCTGAAAGATAATCCAATCAAAATTGTGTCAGAACTTCCTTTCTTTCCTAGTTTCATGTTGTTCCAGATCTAGAAAACACATATGTAAAATGTAGAACTGGACACAGTGATGAATGCTGACACCCAAGGCCCTCAGATGGACAGCCATATCAGTTACTCATCATGCTAGAATATCAGTGTGATCACTCTACCACTCTCCTCCAGCAAGACAATGGTTGTAAGATAACATCTGTGAGCTTGGTAATTCTGAGAATTTTTTTTTAAAAATCACTAATACTCCATTCTAAAGAGGCATTTTGATGCCCTAAAGAGTAAGATTCAGGCCAGGCACGGTGGCTCACGCCTGTAATCCCAGCACTTTGGGAGGCTGAGGTGAGAGGATTGCCTGAGTCCACGGGTTCAAGACTAGCCTAGGCAACTTGGCGAGAGCTCATCTCTACAATAAATAAAAAAATTAACCAAGTGTGGTGGCACGTGCCTGTAATTCCAGTTACATGGAAGGTTGAGGTGGCAGGATCACCTGAGCCCAGCGGGTAGAGGTTGCAGTGGCCATGTGCGTGCCACTACACTCCTGACTGGGTGACAAAGTGAGACTCCAACTTGGAAAAACAAAAAAGAAGGAAAGAAAGAAAAAAAAAAGAGTAAGATTCAGCTCTTCACTTCAACCCAATTCTCACATCACATCACTTCCTATCACCCCACTTTCATCCAGCAGATCAACTCCAAAACCAAACTAGGAAGTACATGAATGGTACATGTATTTTTAAAATCAGCCTAAATTATTCATTCTATAGCCAAATTGTTAGTCTCAACAAACTCTTCACAAGAGTCTGACTACATAAATAGGTTAACAAATACTTCAAGCTTATATATTATACTTCACATAATCAACCTAACATTCCCTGTGGCTTTGACCCAAGAAACTGTTGAGAGTGTATGCTTTATTCACTAATTTGAACAATTTTCTTAGCTAATTCTACGAATTTAATTATACAAAATAAGCTTATTACACAAAATAAGCTATAATCAACCCACCTTACAATTCAAAGAGGTTAATTCTTGCAAAGGTGCCATAAACCTAAGCTTTGCAATGTCGAGTACTCAGAAGTGTTATTTTTCTATCTGACCCAATACACTCTTTGTGGGACAAGAAAAAAGCAGCTGATTTCATTTGCTTGAGGAGGGATGGAAGAACGCCCAATAGCAATAATTAAATTCCCAGTCATAGGAGGCAGCCTACTAAAGTAGTTAAAAGCATAGACTAAGAGCCAGGCCACCTGGATTCAGGTCCTGCCTTCACCATTTATTTATTAGTTGTGTAATATTGGGCAAGTTATTTAACTATTCTGTGCCTTTATTCATAAAAAGGGGATACTAATGCCTACTCATAAACATATTGTGTGAATTAAATGAATGAATATGTGTAAAGCACTTCAGAGAGTACCTAGTATATACTGCTATGTAAGTGCTTGCTTATTACCACTACCACCACCACCATCATCTCCCTAGCTGGGGCTTTGAATTTAGGGAGGTACTCCCCATCTTGTTATGACAGTACTACAAGTTAGCAAGGAGTGCCCACCCACTCTGGCAATGCCACAACAGCTTTTCACAGTCATACACAGGTGTGGTAAGAACTAAGATACACAAAGAGAGGAGAGGTAATCACTCACAAAAATGGAACAATATCAGGCCAACAAGCCAGTTTCTTCCTCTTAAATGGAGATGGTCCCAATGGTCAGAAGGAGTTCATATGTGTTCCACAAGTATATTACTCACTCCTAGAGAAAACTGGGCTCAATATTTAAGAAAACTTTTTTTCTGTTTTGAAATAAGTTTTATGGACTAGCTGAGAGAAAGTATTATACATTTTTTGCAGAGATTTATAGCCTTTATAAACGGGTAACAGAACGCCCTTGGACAATGATTTTTTACAATATCCACCTTTTCAAAGATTGAAATGAAGCTTCTCCAAAAACTGTGTTTCTCCTTAACCAGAATTTCTCACTGGGAGATTTTTTTTTATCAAGCATTAATACTGGAATGGTAATTTATAAATTATACTTAGCATTTGAAAACCCAGGACCCAAATAATGATGCCATTGAGCAGCACATCTAAAATGATCCCCAGAACTCACCTTGGAAAACCGCAGCATTCTGAATAATTAAGAACTTGAGCTCCATACTTGCAGACTGAAGCAGCTGTTCCATGTTCAATCGTGCTGTTAGTTGGTATTTTTCTTCCATCTTTCTTGAGCAGCATGTTGGGCCCTTGGGGAGGCATACTTGCAAATCTGATCCTGAAACAAACAAGGTTTTCATATTTCAATAAGCAAAATGTCACACACACATACATACACACACATGAGGCAAACAGAGTAAAACAATGCATTTCTTTTAAAATACAGTAACATCTTGATTATTCAAAATGAGGATGTATCTTAACTAATCCTTGCTTTCTCCCAATTGTCCTTATGACTGATTCTTTTTGTATAACCATCAGAATTAATTGCCTAGGCTTGACTCATAAATTCTGCATAAACTAATTTATAGCAACAAATATACATCATTGAACACTGATATTTAATTTGTCTGTTAAAAGATCAATCTTCACTCCTATAATTTATTTTTCCTGATTATAATTTATGAATGATAAGACAACCAAGAAATAATTTTCAAAATTCCAGTTATGCTTTCCAAATGAGATGTGTCTGGCCAATCCAATGTTGCTTTTCAGGATAAGTGATCAAGACATCAATATCATAGCAAAGCTATATTGTTGTTTTATCTAAAGGTCTAGAGCAAGATGTAAGTCATTCAACAAGTATTTACTACTAAAAGCCAAGCACTGTGGTTGTAACAGTATACGAAGCAAAATCCCTGCCCTCAGGAGCTTATATTTTTGGAGAAAAATATAAACATAATGTCAAGTGGTGACAAATACTATAGAGAAAATAAAACAAAGTAAAGAAGGAAAACCAAATTGTGGTATATCCATATTATGGAATTCTGTGTAGCCATAAAAAGGAATGAATTATTGATCCACGCAACCACATGGATGAACTTCAAAAACATTATGCTGAGTGAAAGAAGCCAGATCAGAAGAAGTGCATACTCTATGGTACCATCTGTGTACAAGTCAAGAAAATGGAAACTAATCCATAATGACAGAAAGCAGTTCAGCGGTTGTTGGTGGAGATGGAGGGCAGGGAGGAATGGGAAGAAGGGCTTACAAAAGGCAGTGAGGAAAGTGTGAGAGCTGATGGGTATGTTCACTATCTTGGTTGTAATGATGGTTTCATGGGTGCATACATATGGCAAGATTATCAACTTATACCTTTAAAGTATGTACAGTTTATTACATATCAATTATAAGCTGTTATATCAATAAAACTTTTTAGTTTTTAAAAAGTAAAGTCAGGCTGGGAATGGTGGCTCACAGTTGTAATCCTAGCACTTTGAGAAGCCAAGTTAGAAGGATTGCTTGAGCAATCCAGTTCAAGACTAGCCTGGGCAACATAGTGAGACTCTCCCCACCCCACCTCTATTTTAAAAAATAAAAAAAGTAAAGTAAGGAAAATGTGGAATGTTGTGACTGCAGGGACTATTCTGTTTTATATGGGGTAGTTAGGGAAGGCTTCTTTCATAAGGCAACATTTGAGGAGAGATGAGAGATTTGAGAGAAAATCCCATGATTTTATATCCTCCACCAATACTAGCAAATATTAAGGCTCAATGAATATTAAGCCCAATCTCCTTCCTCTCTGCAACTCATGTTTCACTCAAACTCTCTTTTCAATAAGCATTTATTGAGCTCCTTTTGTGGTGGCCATGAAAAATGTACATCTCAGATCTCTTACTATGGAGAGTGTAATTGACTCATGGTCCCAGCTGCTGCCCTCTGAATTCACCACTACATTGTGCCTAGGCCACAGTCCCTAAGGTCTGCTCCCAGCCAACGACTGCACATGACAAAGATACTAAATCTTGTAATCCAGGACTTTGCCCACAGGGAAATTTGGGCTGAAGACACGCCCCCCCGCCACACTGACCTTGCCAAAACTTTCCTAAAACTGCACTGCAGTCAAGATTCTTCCTACTCAACCTTCCTTCCTCTCCTCTCTCCTCCACAGAAGTCAGACCTGCACCAAGGTCTGATGGCCCTTTCAGCTCCCTCAGCTTTCTTCACATTTATGTTCTTAAGTGTTTTACCTAATAAATTCCTTGCACACCTAATTCCATATTGGATTCGGTGCTTATCCAATTAGCATCTGCTTCTCAGAGGGCCCAGTCAAACACACATTCTACGCACCAGGTGCTGTGTTACATGCTGAAGTTACAACTTTGAATAAGAGATATTTGGTCCTTAACCCCGAGGAGCTAACTGTCTAAAGGGATTAGCAGATATAAATACCCAGTATACCATAAATGAGCACAGTAAAGCAGCTAGCTAGGTGGGATGAAAAAAATGTATATATGAGATCTAAGGATACCTACCCCAAAGTTTCATAAGCTCTTCAGTAAAATAAAGTTCAGTAAGTCTTACTGAAGTAAGGCTAGAAAGCATATTCAGGCATTTTAGACAGCTTTTCAAGAATTGGAGTTTTTCAAAAGGAGGGGAGACAAGTTAGCTCTAAGTCACCAGAAAATTTATTTTTATTACAGTATCTTATTTCCCTAGGAATTTCAGTTGATCATGCCCTTGTATGTGTCCAAGTTTTCTTTTCTGAATTTAAGAATGAAATTCATCAAGTTTTGTCTCCTATGACATCACTGTTGGAGTCGAGGATATTGACTCCAAGCTCTTCACTTCACCCTTCTCAAGGGAGCTGCTGACAAGAGTAGCAAAGGAGAGTGCAGATAATACATATCACCAAGCCTAATACAGCCCTGCAATTTATAGTACTGGATGGAAAGGTGATTTTTTTTTTTTTGAGTTGGAGTCTCACTCTGTCGCCCAGACTGGAGTGCAGTGGCCGCTCCTGGCCACCGCAGCCTTGACCTGCTGGGCTCTGGAGATCCTGCCGCCTCAGCCTTCCAAGTAGCTGGAACTACAGGCGCGCACTACCACGCCCGGCTAATTTTTTTGATTTATTGTAGAGATGAGGTCTCACCAAGTTGCCCAGGTGGGTCCCGAACCCGCGGGCTCAGGCAATATACTCACCTCAGCCTCCCAAAGCACAGGATTACAGGCTGAGCCACCGAGCCCGGCTGGAAAGGTGATATTTAATGTCAAAATAAAATTTTGGGTCTGGAGACACAGAGTTCAGATTTATCTCCTATAAATGTCAATCTCATATACAAGCCTTAAACTCATTTTGAATATGGTCTAAGCTTAAAGGCTTTATGATTAGCTTCAGAAAAAAAAAAAAAAAAAAACAGAGCTAATTCTAGCTCACTGTGTTCTTTTTACATGAGGTTACAAAATGTAATGCCATCCTAGCAGTAGGAACTGATGCAGTTTACTGGACCAAGAAGGGAAAGAGGCCCCTTAGGGAAGAGTGGCTAATCTAAATTTAAACAAGGTTGGTTGGGACACACGTGTAGATATGAAAGCTCCTATGTAGCAGGTACTATTTGTATACCAAGTCCCTGTTCATTTAGCAAGGTTTCATTTACTTTCTTGGTAAGCTGATGCCTAAGTAGTATGTGTTTAAAATATCTGTGTTTAAATAAGTTCATAAAATTAATTGTTACAGATACAATCCTTTGTGTTTCTAAATTTGCACTGACCATGACTTCCAGTTTTCAGAAATGGCTGAATTTACTTGGCAAGGTGGCTATTAGTAATGCTCCTATTTCCACCAGCTCTAGCTAGTGGGAGTTGTAAAATAATAGAACTCAGGTCTTTTCTCTGTGAAGTGCTATGAGTTGCTTAGACGTTAGAAGGTAACATGTTGTTGCTCGATGTACCTGCATATGCCCAGGAATGACTCTTTGAATTACCAGACACCAGTTTGGTTTGCCTTTGATATGATAATTTATAAAGTAATTTAGAGCTTGCACAGTGTGTCCCTTCCCTCAGTTGGTCAAGTCTCATCATTTTATAAACTTCCACAACCTCAAAAATCAGTTTAGTCAAAAATCTTTAAAGGAATAAAACCTCAAATGAGAATGTGTTGGGAAACATGTCAGATGTCATGAAGAAATATATATGTTATATCCAAATATAAGTGGGTATACTGCAATATCACCCTTCCTCTCAGTTATTATAGCCTGGTTAATCAATGAACCAGTACAATTGATCTAGGGTCCAAGAGTTAGTTTAGCTATAGATTTGAGGAAATAAAACATCCATAAACTGATTATAAATTTAGAATATCCAAACCAGGAAGGAGATAAATATATGCCAAAGGAAAAGATATTTTGCTTAAAGTAAATTTTATATAACTCACAGACCAGCTTTAAAATAAAACCCACAAGAAATCATAAGGAACAAAGAAGATCAGGAGAGTTAGACATGTCTAAATGAAATGGCAATAATGAAATATAACAATTTCAATGCATGGACATGTTTGTGAAAGAAAAAAGCACACAGAAATTTAAAAAAAAAAAAATAGAGGGAATTCTCATCAACTAAACAAAGAATCACCCTGGGAACTGAATCCCAAGTTGCCTATATAAAAGTAACACCAAGAGCAAATGAGTAAGGAGGTAAATCAATAACTGGTACATACTAATATGAATAAAAGCAGAAAAGTCAATTCAAGAAATAAGATGCAGGCTGGGTGCGGTAGCTCACACCTGTAATCCCAGCACCTTGGGAGGCCAAGGCAGGTAGATTGCTGGGGCGCTGGAGTTTGAGACCAGCCTGGACAACATAGTGAAACCTCATCCCTAGAAAAAACAAACAAATAAATAAACTAGCTGGGCGTGATGGTGCCTGCCTGTAGTCCTAGCTACTCGGGATGCTGAGGTAGAAGCATCACCTGTGCCCAGGAGGTCGAGGCTTCCATGAGCCATACTCATTGTGATCATGACACTGCACTCCAACTTGGGTGACAGAGTGACCCCGACTTGAAAATAAAAATTTTAAAAAGAGATGTAACCTACAAAAACATAGTAAATAGAGAAGCATTCTTTAAATATATTAGGTACAAAAGAAGGAAAATAGCCCCTTTACTAGATATAAGGGATGAGGATAAGTAATTGTGGACCACAGTAGTCAAAGAAGAGTGCTCATCATTTTTTTTTTTTTTTGTAAAAATGGAACTCAGCTGGGAAATGGGAATAGAGACAAGCAATATCGCTTGGGATGGAGATAAGGAGAAGACTTAGCAATTGGCTATTCAAATAAGCC